TATTATATTGTCAACTTAAATGTTAATCATGAACCTATGCTCTTTCTTTCCCCGAGGGAGTTAAGGTCCTAAATTGTATTTATGTAGCAGCACAGTCTCTCTTTTTTTAATCCTACCACACGGGGGAGCCAAAGTCAGAATATTTTATATAGTGATTCATAGTTTTAAGAAAATGCATAAATGTTTATGTATATTTCTTCTTCTTGCTCTTAAGGCTCCAGATGAAGGGGGCACAGTGAGTCGTAGTATCTGAGTTTTCCTCTCTGTCTGGGTGTGCAGGGCTCAGTCGTTCGCTGAGCGGCTGCGTCTGGGTATAGCAGTGATCCACGGTGAAGCTCAGGACGCAGAGTCAGACCAGGTAGACGGGCGACACTCCCCACCCACAGTCAAGACCACCGGAGCCATCCACCCCAGCATGGAGATACCATGTAATATGAGCACACACTAATTAGCATAAATCCTGTAACCAACATACGACAGAATGTATTATGTAATGTTATGGTCTGCCACTGCAAATAGCACATAACCTAGAGAGGTGCTGCCTCTAGCTGAGTTTAAATACAGCCATTCACTGTTTCTCACGGTGTGCTTCTGTTTCTGTTTCCAGTGTTGATCCCTAAAGAGAAGCCTCCCATCACTGTGGTTGGAGACGTAGGAGGACGCATCGCCATCATAGTGGTGAGAGCATACAGTGTGACTGTGGGTTTTAACACGGTTTTGGTTCTGCATTTGGAAGAACAAACTACGTTTACTCTACTTACTGTGTAAAGTTGCACTTTGTGCTTCATTTTAAGTCACAGCAATCACAGAGGAAGAACAAGAGTCGCATGAGAAAGTCACAATAAACTTAGAGAACAAAAGAAAGCGGCCAAATCAGCAGAGAATAAGCAGCTGCTGTATCTGCAGCTGCAGGAAGACAGAGCAGTGACTGTCTGCGGACATTCTGTAAGAGACGGAGGAAATCCAGTCTGGTTTTCCATTGAAAAGGCTAAAGAGAATAGCTTAGTTTCAGTGGCTGTTGCTACGTGAGCAGCTAGACTATGAAGTGCCATACACACAGTAAATGACAGATAAATTGTTGACAGAGATCCAATATCTTTTTCATGATGCAACCTCCTTTGCAAGATTACAAAAAACATTAACTTAATTTTACTGTGCTTTATGTGGACTACTGTACAGGTGCACTGACTGTGGATCAGGCTGATCCACACTCCATTCAACATTTTGTTTTAATTATATTCAATTCAATTTGTATAGCAGGGGGGGAGAGGAGGGAGAGAAGTAGCAACAACTACACTAATAGTAGTGACTGATGATGATGAACATGAAGAAGATTATATTGAGGAGCATAAATTTGTCTTAGTTTATTTATCAGATACATGTAGAAATCATTAGAGTACAGAACACTCATGTTAAAAGATCTGTTGAATGTCCATCAAATTTGTCTGAGGATGCTTTAGAAAAACCCGAAACCCTGATGTCTCATCAGTAATCATTTTCTTGTGTGTGCTATTATACATTTTTACAAAACTGTGCAAGTAAGATTTCTTTAAAGCTGACAGTATTTTGCTGGTGAAAATAAATACAACATACGTCTTTATAAAGTAAGAATCTGAACTCAAACGTTACCCAATGCCTGTGGTGGCATCTTCTCACCAGAGGGCGCCATTCTACTTTTATAGGTTGAATGCTGAAAGTTGATCAGGTCTGTTTGTCCTGTAGGATGACATCATCGATGATGTCGACAGTTTTGTGGCAGCAGCGGAGACGCTGAAGGAAAGAGGGGCCTACAAGATCTTCGTCATGGCAACCCACGGCATTCTTTCCTGTGACGCCCCCAGGTTCATAGAGGAGTCGGCCATTGATGAGGTGAGTTTGTCAATCTGTCCTTAAACGTAACAGTATTCTGGTGTCATACTTAAAGGTTGTATACACACAAAATTAACTTGCCACTAGAGCACCAGCATCTCAGACCAAAACAATACTACAGCTGACCAGAGTCCAGAGACAAAACCAGTCATTTTGCCTAGCTAATAATCGTTTGAAAGAGATTTCAAACTGGACTCAAATAAGATGAAACTTAACAAAACCGCCTTTGTTAGTCTTTCCAACAATCACAGATGCTGGTTTGGTCAAAATAAACCCTTATTCTGGGGTTTTCACCTACTGGAAGACAATCAGACATAGTATTTTAAAATGAAGATTCACTTTTGTTTTGCTGTTGCTAATATGGCAGCTTTTGTTGTAGCTAATCCTTGGGGACAAATTTTCTTGTCAAAGTACGTCCACTAAATGTGCTTGTTACCACTGACAGGCTCAGATTGTTATTCTGAATGTCTGACAGCATTACGGAAAGGATCCCTAAAGAGATAGACTCTTTGGTTAACCAGAAACAGCTGTAATATCGCCATCACTCACCAGACCTCCATAGACAAAACCGGTCATTTTAGCGTGCATATTATTGCAACATCTTAACTTGCAGAGTAACTGCCTTTAGTCAGTCTTTCCACTGTTCTGACAATCCGCAGCTCTGGTTAGGTCAAAATAAATCCTTAATTCACAGACGTTGATGATTTAAAACAGCAGTTTCTGTCGCTCTTCCAGCTGCGATAGCAACACAGGCAGAGGGAGTGTTTGTGTGTGTGTGTGCGTGGTCTCTTATCTCAGCTCTCTCTTTTTCTCTCCTCCCCCAGGTGGTGGTGACCAACACGATACCCCACGAGCTCCAGAAGCTCCAGTGTCCAAAGATCAAAACAGTCGACATCAGCATGATCCTGTCGGAGGCCATCCGCCGCATCCACAACGGAGAGTCCATGTCCTATCTGTTCCGCAACATAGGAGTGGATGACTGAACAACCTGTCACACACACACACACACACACACACACATACCATTTGCCTTCAGATCTCTTCAGAAACATTGGGGTGAATGTCAAACACTGAAATTGTATCATAACATACAAATATAAATGCTAACCCTTTCCTTTGAGTTCAGCTTAACATAGACGATGACTGAACATACACTCCACTAAGTAGTCTTGTTCCATAGCTGTGAGTGAACACACACATTGCTTACCCTTCCAATGGCTGCCCTCTTGTCAAACAGTACACACCTCAGTTGTGTTTTTACTCTCATCTCTCTGAGTCACCTCTGCTTCTTTCTACATTTTCCTCCATATGTGTTAACATAGAAATTAATGTGGATGTTAAATCTTAGTGTTAGAACATGATATTTGTGAGCATTGAATGTCTCTTGCAGTACAATCTCCTTTTATTAATAGTATCCGAAAGAGAGTCAGTGCCTTCTACAGGACATACTCCAAACACACAGGCCTTCACTGCTCCGACATCCAGCTGTGTGTCCGCTAACAGAGCTAATTCAGAATGAATGCAGGAATATGCAGGTTCAGAGTGCATGTTTAACCCTCCGTCAGGTTTTTGTTTATTTATGGTAGTGTGTGAATGTTCTACTAATATAGTTAGTCAGCTAGCCATATGTCTGTGTGGTTGCCATAGCACTTAGATGCTGATCTGGTGTCAAATCTACTAACCGCTAAACTGAACTGGAATTAATACAGCAAATATTTTCTCAGTCTGGTTAATTGGATTGTTAGAAACATTTTATGACAGTGCACTTAAAAACATGTCTTCATGAGTCATCCATATAACATTGTGTGCCATTGTTTTAATGCCTGCATTTTCTATTTGTTCACGTCACAAATGAGCAGTTCTCTTCCAGCTCGAGGACTCGGGATCAAAAGCAACTCACAAAAAACCTGATTTTCTTAATCTACCAGTTCCACATTAGAACTCAGTTTTACTCTCTGGGTAGAAGTGGAAGGTTCTTATTAATCATTTGGAAATGGGTAAATGAATCCTCGATCCTGAGATAATTATGAAAGAGACTGATGAATTTACACACATTCTACCTGAGTTTCAAAAAACAAGAATTTCCAAACAGCAGCTAACGCTAGGAAAGTAAATTGAAATGTTTTTCTGATACGCAAAACTTGACTGAAGCAGGTCTTTGTCACTTTACCAGATATGTTCCAAAAATGTTTTGTATTTATTTTCAGCACTTAATATGAATAAATACGACCTAAAAAAGGTAAAGACTGTCTTGTTTTGTAGCTTCCTATTTGTATTTCTTGCAAGCACGCTGATGTTTCAGCAGGTAAGTGATCAGTGATCATCAGTATGTTAATTTAGAATGTTAGCATGCGTAGACTTGGTGATTAACATAAACCCAATGTCTTAAACCAGGTGATCTGACCTCATAAATCAAAGGATTGCCAAAGTTAATTACAATTCATCCTGAGGGGAACATCGTTTAAGGAGAATTATTTTCATGGGAACAAGTGAAGTTATCTCACTAAAAACTATAAATGTCAACCATGATGGAGGTAAAGTCAAGGGGTCACCAAAGTCATTAAAGCTGCAGTAGGTAACTTATAAAAATAAAAATTGCCCATCCTAACGCTATCAACTATCTTTCTTGGCTCTGATTGGTTGTTTTCGTTCAGGCCCAGTGGATTCTTGAAAATGCCATTAGGAGCCAGAGGATTTTTTTCACAGATTATCTGTATCACTTATGTCAGAATATAGTGAAATATTGAAAAACTTTCTTACAATGACTTATAGAATTTTTTTTCCTGTCACATTGGCAGAAATGGGCTTCCATATTATACACTAATGAAAACAACTGCCAATAGATCCTCTTACATTTTACACACTATGAATGCAGGACTCATATAAAGTGTTTTTACTTTAATGTATGTGCTATGTGTTTTACAAAGTAAAAGATCTGAATATTTCCACCACTGCATGTAGCTGTCGTTCCTGGATACAGACGTCTTTTCTTAAAGACAGCAGGTTGAGATCACTGTACTGCACCTCTTCCTCCTCCAGTACTCTAAATATAGAGACAGTCCGCTAGGGTAGGGTTAGTGAACACACACATCCAAAGGAAGAGAACAGTAAATTGTTAAATCAAGTTTCCCTTTTGTATTTCTTGTTCAACATATTTTTATTTATTAATGCTGACAGACAGGTATTGGTTCAGACAAACATGGTGGCATCAACTAAAGAACAGAACCAGGCAGAGAAGGAAATCTGTTTCAGACCCGAGACACACTCAAAGGTCATCTTACACACTGTCAGATTGTCCTGCTCACACTGTTTGGCACCACTACGTAGACATCTCAATGTATTTGAAGAAGCTAAGCAAAGGGTTAATATTATAAAAAACTGAAATCACTCCAAAATGCCATGAAATTTGGGTATTGGATTGTAATAGAACAAAGCAGATGGAAAATCCCCCCCCCAAAAAAAAAAAACTAATTTAAAAACTTCCTGTAGTGCTTTTGCATTTTTAACCTTTCCTGTTCTGTTATTTTTCCAGTTTCTTAAAAGTTGGTTTATGAACGCAAGCTTATACTTAATCTATGCAACAGGCATCTGTTCTACTACTTCTATCTGCTCTGGCTGTTAAGTGTTTAATGACCAGTTACCTCTGGTTACAGGACAGAATTTGACAGTCGTCCAGTCAGGTTTCCACCCTGAGCATTGAAAATAGTCATCGCATCAAGAAAGCCAAAAGTCAGGGTCAAACTAGGCCTGCAAGCAAGAAAAACTGGGTCCTTGGTAGGGCTGCAACTAATTAATTCCTGTCATTGTTGATTAATCTATCAATCATTTTCTCCATTAATCGAAAGTTGTTTAGACAATGAAATGGTGAAAAACAATAATCACTGCTTCCCCAAGGTGACATCCTTAAATTTCTTGTTTTGTCGACAACCCAAAGATATTCAGCTTACTGTCATAGAGGGCTAAAGAAACCAAAGAATTTGCCCATTTTCTTGTAAAAATTAATCAAAACAATTAATTTATTGTCAAAATAGATGTCAGTTAATGTAGTAGTTGACAACTAATCAATTAATTGACTAAGCATTGCAGCTCTAGTCATTGGACATAGATAATCGTGTCGTCTGCATATACCAAAACTTTTCTCAATAAATCAGTTTTGTCAAAGATTGCTTAAAGGGGACCTGTGTGGTGTTACTCCTCAAAACATACTGCGTGTGGCCTTAAAGGTATCTCAACTACAATTACTATTAACCCTTAAGCAAGGCACTAAACCCTCTCACCTGCTCCAGCAAAGCTGCTCAGAGGCTACCAGGGCGTTTCAAAGGTCATCTCCCAGAATGTGAAGCAGGGGGAAAGAGTGGAGTTGGATTATCATTTAAAATATGGGTAGTAATGACCAAACACTGAAAAATGTCCTGGTGAAAGGCATCGATCTGTCTACAATCTGTAAAGTTAAATGCTGTCGAGCTACAATCTGTCAGCCAAAATGGCAGTCTGTCTGTACTGTACTGTACTCAGTGGCAAACACTCCTTAAACACATATTTCTTTTAATGTGATGGGCAGACATGAGGAGTAACAAGTGTGATAGTCAGCTACAGCTAGCGCACATCTGAAGACTTTGTAAAGGCAAAAGCAGCACGTTAACTAATAGTCTTAACAAGGCAAAGTGATCACTCACTGTGGTTAGATTTTAAAGCTGCAGTAGGTCATTTTTTTTATCATTTTTTTTGTCATATTTGCTGAAACTTTCACTATATCCTGACAGTAGTACACAATACAGATAATATGTGAAAAAATCAGGCTCTTTCTCAGCTCTAATTGGGTGTTTTTGTCCAGGTCTGGAGCATTCTTGAAAATACCATTATGAGTGCTAGGAGGAGCCAGAGGAACCTGATTTTTTAAAGATTATCTGTCTCACGTACTACTGTTAAAACACATTCAAAAATGTCAGCAAAAATGACAAAACTTTTTTTTTTTAAATAAGCGTTCGTTAACGCTACTGCAGCTTTAAACCAAAAGTGACCAGCAGGACTTTGATTTGTTGGTAAAACAGCATTTGTACAGCTCCCATTGGTTTGACATAGAGATGAAACTGTAATAAAAATACTTAAGAAATTAAAACACTCAAAAGAGTTGCTTATGGCTGATTTTCATTCCTTTAAAAATCTCCTTTGTTCTCTCCATTGTTCCTGTCCAATTGGACCATAATGTAAATATACTGCAGGTTCTGGACAAATACTTGGTGTCTTTAAAAAAATGATCTTCCATGAAAACATCAACCTTAAACTGTAAGTGTGTGGTGTCACTCCCCTTTGTCCAATTCAAATATGCTTCTATCATGATATCTAATCAATCCATCATTCAAACTGTTGCTTTAACAGCATGACATATTTCACCATATATCTAGAATGGAGAGTGAGACAGAGCAGAAAACAAAACATGACCATTGTCTGTTGGTTAAAATGTCTCATACTCCTGTTTGTGGCTCTTGAGTTGAGCAGCGCACAAACTTTGTTCCCATGAGTCACTGAAAATTGAATACACATGATTTCCTGTAGGTCGGAGGTCAAAGGATGCCTCAGGGGGACATGTCATTTGTGTAGGTGTGAAGTATACGGGGACAGATTGGTCAGCGCAAAACAAGTTGAGAACAAATACCTTGTTTTAAAAGGCATTAAAACAGTGAACCAGAAGAAGTTGGTGTTTTGGAGCAGCTCGGTCGCACTGTGTGCCACTGTGACAAGCTTCTACTAACAACAATTATCAATTTATGCTACATTAGATATTCATTTTCACGACTATCCACATATTTGTGAAATGTATTCTGTGTTTGCAAGATGGCAAAGAAGAAAATATTTTATATTAACATGACTACGGGTCTACAGCCACACCAGTGGCTCTATTAAGGCTGCCCTTAGGCAATTCTTTGAGTTAAATGCTAATGTTAACATGCTAACATGCTCACAAAGACAATGTAAGCATGCTGATTGGAAGTACAATGTTTTAGCCTATCATATTCAATATTTTACTTTAGCTTGTTAGCATGTTAACATTTGCTAATTAGCACTAAATACAAAGTTTAGCCGAGGCTAATGGGAATATCATTAGTGGTGCTAGAGGATAATTCATCCTGAGGGGTGCATGAATGCCTGTACCAAACTTCATAGCAACACTTGAGAAGGGACAAATTTGAGCTGCGAGACTGTGGCTAAAATCAAAAATGGCTGCCTGATAGAACCGTTTTGTGATTCAGTGTTTTCAATTAATGCAACCTTATAAGAGCTTGCCAGCAAGCTATATGATCTCAATAAGCACGCACATGAACTCGTAATAATCACCACGGTGAATGATAACATTAGAGCAGCAAAATACACAGTTAGCCCGTTTTAAACTTTGTATAAGTTACTGGTGTGTGAACACTGTCCTACTGAGCACCATTTTTCCATCCACGTGCAAATATGAACCTCATATTTGGAATATCAAACAGTCATCATGAACCACTGGATAAAAGTCAAATCAGAAATATACAATCATATTGTATGAACAGAGACTGTACTGTAACTGAAGTGTCACAGGTCCCTTCAAAGGGAATGGACAAATGTCTTCCCCCGTTATTTCCAAATGAAGACAGTTCTGCATTAGCCAATTTAAAAAGTCTTGGAGTAGTAGGCTGCAGTGGGTACATTTTCTTTAAATACCTTTTTGTCATGTTTATGGACCTTAATAAAAACAACCAATCAGAGCAGAGAAAGATAGTTGATTAAGTCTCATTCCCATCTACTCAAATACAGACACAGATCAACTTTTTTCAAGCTACTAACCAAGAGTGTTGGTATTTGATGCCCTGGTAAGCTTTACATCTTTCTCAGCTCTGATTGGTTGTTTTCATTCAGGCCCGGTGGATTCTTACAAATGCCATTACTGTCACTATATAATGAAAGTTTCAGCAAATATGACAGAAAGTTATAAAGTTACCTACTGCAGCTTTAACGTACAATCTACAGTAAGTCACTGATATTCCCTTCGCTAGTAAAATATATCTTCAACATTTTAACCAAACAGGACTTATTTTTTGACAAGAAATAACATTTCTTTGGTTACTTTTAACAATTTTCTTTCTGCTTAGTATTTTTAAAATGCTTGTAATTTACCCAAATGAATATTTATATAAAGAAACTTGTTGGGAAAAAGATAAACCTGATGCACCTCCAGTGGTTCCTAAAAATGATCTGACCTTTAAAGACCACAGCAACACTTCTGTATTCAACCCATTTCTGGACGATGTCAGGCATGTATCACTAACTTAAGTTCATATTCTAAACGCGTAATACTGGCACTGGGACTTTCTACTCTTCTCCTAATGCAAGAGATGTGGAGTGTGTTTACATGCACACGGTTTTTTGAATAACACTGTAGCTCATATCCATGTGAATGTCTAGTTCCACAAACATCTCACAGAGGCAAAACTCTCCTGGTAGTACGTAAGCAAGGCTTCATTAGCTGATTAGAAAAGACAAATACTGATCAAAATATCAATAAAAATAGAACTGGCAAGGACTACTATCATTCATTGTATTGTATTTAACACTTTAAGGAAGTCAGTAGGCTAAAGTAGCATACATAGCTACAGGAAAATCAGAAAGGCTAACCAGTTTACCTAGGTCACCAGCTATTAGAGCCTGACTGAGCAAAGTTGAATTCTATAAGCAACTGGGAAGCTCATTCAGAAATTGAACCACTCTTGAATACACAGTACTGATATTGAAATACCACTGAATCATTACACTAAAATATTTTACTTTAAGTAAGAGTTTAAACCACATAAAGTCAGAGGGATAGTAAAAAATGTGAAGAATTCCAATGCTATAAATTCAGTGATATTCAAATGTCAATAATAAATATTCAGTAGTAGTTAAGTTTTACAATTAGGTATACAGTCGTTCATGGAAAAAAATCAAAATTATTATGACCTTTCTTTTCTTCCGTATTAGCCAGTATTATCGGTCAAAGAGGAAATGGTTCTGAAGTTCCAAAAATAAAAATTGAGGTAATTTGGAAACACTGTTAACATTAACTAGTTTGTCCACCAGAAAGCACTGACTATTTATTTTCCAACTAAATGCTTAGTACACGTCTTGGTCATAATTCTTTTCTATTAATCAAATTTAAGCGTCCTTAAAAAGGTCCAGTGTTTAGTAACTCTGTAATATAAATAACTGGCTTAAAAATCCAGTATTGGTCAAACATTTTTGGCACTTTTGCTTATGCTTACTTCAACTAATGAGATTTTTTCTTGAGCAGTTCTGCCTCCAAAAAATGTTTGAACAACTGACACTACAAGTGCACCTCAAGAGATCCTGTTGTACATATCAGCAGTTTCTGAATACAGGAATTAACTGAATATTTTCAGTTCCCCATGTAGCCTGAGCTTACAAAATTATGCAGTGAGTGCAAGTGGAAGCTGTACACAAAATAGCCTCAGAATACTAGCATATTCTGGTGTTTGGTGACCCTGGATAAGAGGAGATTTCTGAAAACCCTGCACCAACTCAAGAATATAGCACATGACTATCCTGAATAACAGGATAGTTGGTGTGCATGTAAACCCACAGATACTGTAGTAGACACCAACAAATATACACCATTAGAAGCTCTATAAGCACATTAGACTATTCACACCCTGTTTGCCATTGATGTTGATAGAAAAGAGATGAAACAGGCAGAGTCTGGACTACTGAACTAGTTCACCCTCCACTCACTGCACTGCCTTACTCTCGGATATCAGACCACTTCATTCCTTAAGCCATTTAAACACTTTTAAATACATGTATAGAATATATACAAACAGTATGCCACTAAACTTCTGCCTGATTCCTTCCATCGCTTGCAGAGAGTTAGGCTAGAAAAGAGAAACCAAAGGCTGGGGTGGGCGTTTTTGTTTTTTTCACAGTTTTTGTCACTGATCTGAAATTTGTCGGCCATCTTGTTTTACAGTTTTTATTACTTAACTATCAGCAAGTGGTGGTTGTTTCCTTTACAGTTATTTTTTGTTGTGTGTTACTACCAGGTTCCACTTTAGAATTTGTGTTGAGTCTTGAGGTGAAAAAACCAGGTGGCCATTTCTCCTTTGCGGTTTTTGATTCGAATGCCATACAACAGAAAGCATGTTAGTCCTCTTCACAGGAATCCAGTCCAGTCGCAAACAAAACAAAAGAGGAATGGTTCCGCAACCACCTAGTTCGAAAGTAGTACAATGGCAATCAAATAACCTTTGTCCTTTCTCATTTGTTCTGTTTAATTCTGCATTTATGCCCTCTGTCACTCTATAAAGCACTTTGTGACGAGCCTGTTTAATAAAAGCGCTTTTTCAAAATAAAATTGAATCAATAGTAGAATCCCGGTAGGATACCGCTGTTGACGAGAGGAGAAGCCAAAACAGATCATCCACAAATAAAGTACAGGTTGTTGAATGTGATTTCTGTGTTGATTGCCAAGCCGGTTGCCAGGAAGACGCACAAGGAGGATTCTGGGTATTACAGAAGGTGCATTCTGGGATTGGTTATTGTCTGACAGAGCTGTAAGCCATTGGCAGATGTCAGATGTGAGGTTGCTTCTTTCCTTGTTGTATGTCGCCCTCCTCCTCCTCTCTTTTACCATTGTCATCCCTGTTTATTCTTTTTTTTTTTTACTACCTGTCCGTGCAGTAAATGGTTGATTGGAATAAAATACAGTCCAGGTCAGAATGAAGGCAGAGCTCCTCCTCTTCCAGTCACAGACAGGAGGTAGGACGTAGCAGCAATCTAGGAGGGTTTGGGGGTCTTCAGGGCATCCACTTTGGTCTCCAGGTCTGTAATCTGTGGAAACAACAACACAGTGCAAATAAATAAATAAATAAATAAATAAATGAGTTCGGTCTAGACGTGCTCTATTTGAAAAGTGTCCTGAGATAACTTTTGTTATGAATTGGCGCTATACAAATAAAATTGAATTGAATTGAATTAAATACATTTAAACTACGCTATAATGCGATCAGTTATTTCAACTCAAAAAAATGTGTTGAAACGAATTATATAAAAATTTTAAGTAACTCAGTTTTAGTAACAGAAACATTCCTGATTAAGCACAGATTACTAGGTATTTTGTTTTCACAGTCCAAATTAAAATTACAAAATTAAGTCAGCGTCACTTAAAATTAGCAACGCTACTTTATCAAGAAGGGTTTGAGTTAGTTTTACTTAAAATTTTCGATGTAATCAGCTTCAACAATTGTTTTTGTTCAAATGAACTTATCTGGTTTTACAATGATAGGCTCTATTTTTGTTGCGCACGGTCCATCGGGGTCAGGTTTGGTAATTGCATGGCTAAGCTCACCTGGTGCACCCAGGGTGTTTTTTTTACTAATTCAGTGTTTTCTTTTCCCTGACGCTTGGCTGTTGTTCTATTAGACAATTTACTTTACATTTACTGTTCTTCACAGAAGTGAATTCACTGCTTTTTGGATGAAAATGATCTGACAATACAACCACACTTCTACCCGCATTATAATTAAAAATGCAGAGCTTTAAGCAACACTTTTGCCAGCCAGAAGATGATGACTCACACTGTTGTAGCCCCAGTGACACAGAGTTTTGGAAATAGACACCGGGGGAGGACTGGCAGGAACAGACAGTCCTCATGGAGCTATTAGAGAGAGAAGTTCTACTTGACCTACGCTTTGTCATGGGACTGTATGAACTGTTTTCAAGTCTCCAACATGCCTGAGGATTTGCAATGTGTAAAAATATTTGCAATGTATAAAAATAAGAGGACAGAGGATGGAGCCTTGGGGAACACCACAGGTCAACAGGGCCACTGAAGATGGAGCATCACCAGCGACTACTGATTCTGTTGACAAATATGATTTAAATCAGTCTAATGCAGTATCCCTGATGCTAACCCATTTTTCAGTGCGATCCAGTATCAATTGCTGAACTAAGATAATGTAGAATTAAAACTGAACAATCAATAGCATTAGCTGTTAGCAAAGGCTCATTTGATTGCTTAAATTAGGGTTACGAGAATTGTAATTTTGATCAATGGACCCTTAAAAAAAACCCATGGTAACCTTTTAGGATAAGTGGTGCATTGATGTATTGTACCATCAATTTAAAGGAGAGGACTGGGTGTTTTTATAGAAATAAATATAGAAATATTAATATAAACAGATTCAAATGGGAAAAATTGTGTTTTCTGGGGGGAAAGCACCAGAGTGGTTAAGGTTTGTATTGCTGACCTTTTCCTGCAGGTTATCTGCCTCCTCTTTGTGTGTTGCCTCACTCTCTTCTTGTGCTCGACGCTGAGCCGTCTCCTTCTTCAGGTACTCAATCTCCCTACAAGGCACACGTTTACACACATATTAAAGTTTGTGTGTCTTTTACTCATTCTCTCAAACCTTTAATGTGTTCTTCCTTACTTCTGCTGGTACTCTTTAATCAGTCTCTTGGCTTTGCTGTATTTCCTCTCAAGGGTTTGGTACTGAGACTGGGTTTCCTTCAGGTGTTCATCCACTGCCTGGAAACACACACAGACAGACACAGACAGACACACAGACACAGTATATGAAAGTAAAATAAAATTTTTGGACGAGCTGTTAAATGATGAGAAAATATACTTTATCCATTCATCCCTGATGGTTGCCTCCTCGCTTTTTAACGTTTATTCTCTAGTAAATTACCTTACACAGGGACTGTGCCTCCATCCAATAGCCCTCAAGTTTCTCCATCCTCTCTTTACTGTCCCGGATGTTTTGCTCCAACTGAGCGCGCTCCATCCGCCAACGCAACTTATCCTGCTCCGCATGAGCCAGCTGGAGGTAAGGGGTGGGAGCGTGGCAGGAGGAGGTGGTATGTGGGAGGTAGAGCCAGCGTTAAGTCATTTTTCAGCCAGCAAAGGAACTGATGTTATGCTAGTGTACATTCTCCACTGCAGTGTAACCTGGATATTGCAGGGATTTCATTTATGCATGTTAAGAAGAAACTGAAACTTAAGCGGCCTCACCTTCCTCTTTAACAGCTGGATCTCCGCCTGGGTTACTGCATGTTTAATCTGGAGCTACAGACAGAGACAGACAGACTGTATGAAAGCAAAGATGAAAACAACCCCCCAGAAAAGAATTCCAGATCCAAATGCTCACAACCACATATACCTCCTTGAATTTGTGGGCTAGCTTCTCTGGGTCCAGCTCCACAGGAGACATGTCCTGGTTCTCCGCCAGGTCAAAAACCTCAATAGAGTTTGGAAACACTGGACTCATCTCCTCTTCCTCGTCTGTTGCATATTCACCCGTCTGCAAGTAAACAGACAGAGATGGAGAAAAATAGAGATATTATATTTGTATAATATTTACAATATGTTATGGGGACAGAATTAAACATTTGTTTCCAAGAGTTAGATGAGAAGATTGATATCACTCTCGCATGAGTGCGGCAAATATGAAACTACCGGTTAGCTTAGTGTAGCACAAGGACAGGAAACACTTGTAAATAGCTAGCCTTTCTTTGTCCAAACAAGGTAGCTTAATTTCGTATTACGTCTTGTTTAATTTAGCTGACGTTTCCTGTCTTTGTGCTAAGCTAAGCTAACCGTTAGCTGTCTTGATTTTCAGACACAGGAGTGAGATCGAGTAAGAAAAGAAGCGTGCTTCCCTAAATGTCAAACTATTGCTTTAAAACATTTAAAATCAGACCACAGTTAAAAATCCCCCTAAAGCTAACTATTTCATATGCTACATTTTGATTGTTGAAACTGCACAAAAACTAAAAGTAAAAATGACACATGGTTTTATGTGTGGATACAGCCGCTGAGTGAGCTGGTACTGGTGCTGGTAGGCAAACTTTGTTACCTTCGGACCTCGGACAGAGATGAATTAGCTGTTTCCAGTCTTTGTGCGAAGCTAAGTTCACCACCTGCTAGCATTAGCTTCATATTTACTGCACGAGACATATGGTATTGAGAACGCAAATAAGCGTAGGCAAAAATGTTCCCGTAACAGTTTATATAAAGGTTCAGTGTGTAACATTTAGGAGGATCTATTGTCAGAAAATGAATATAATATTCATTGCTATGTTTTCATTAGTGTATAATCACCTGAAAATAAGAATCATTGTGATTTGGTTATCTTAGAATGAGACGTTTACAGACACAGCGTGTCACCTTCTGTGGCAGCAGCCATGTAGAACTGGCAATGTGTCTACAGTAGCTCCAAATGGAATGGCGTGCGTTTTTTGGCTCGTTGCGGCCACCATAGTTTCTCCCACATGCTCGGAAAGAGAGGTTGAAACGAGTGAGTTGCAATCTGCAGCTACACCGCTAGATGCCACTGCTCCTTTAAATGTTACTTTCAGATCGCAGTCATACCAAACAAAGTTCAGACTCAAGAGCTGCACTTTTTTTTCTCTTCAGAAGTTGCTGTATAATTTCATTTGGAGGAGTATGTGTCATATAAAGTGGTACAAATGGCAACTAGCCTGGAGCAGACCACTGAGTATGAAATTACAAATTAAGTGAAAGAAGCAATAAGCTCCTGCTGGCAGTTGTTCAGATCGGACCGTTGAAAACAACCACTGCCTGCCTGTCTTCCACTAAAAGGATTCACACAATCAATAAATGTCTGCTAATCATCTGTTTCCTTCTCCTCTTCTATATTACAAAGTAAATTGGCTTCACATTAACTTACAGCCACCATGTATTTCCAGGTTGAGAACAACATTATCGCAGACAAAAATGCATTAACTAAAATTTAGCTTCATATATTATATACATCTTTAGCTTTGGTTACACTTGTGTATTCTGACACAAAGACGAGCTAGCTCTTTGACTGCATTTATTATTAGACTGAGAAACTGACAAGTGACAAGCCACTAACCAAACTATTTTCGGAGCATTTATAAATAATATTTATCTGTTTTTCTATTCAATTATATTCAAAGGTAGGAAGTAACCCGTCCCATTTAAATTTCATATATTTATTTAGTTGTTTGCCTAAGGATTTGTCTAAGATATTAGAATCAGCCTTAAAAAGAACAGAATATAAATCACTCTATGATTTGAACATCTAAATTTCCAGATATATCTCCACGATCTTGATCTTCTCGATGGGAGCTACGTCCCTGGGGATGATGAATTTCCTAATCTCACTAGAGAACCTCATTGACTGTTATGATGTAATTACAGGGAGAATTTACATTCCGCCCACTGACCCCAGTGTTATGATGAATGGAGTAATTCTATACACTTTGAATAGTTAACTTATGATTTGCTTTTATTGACTCAGGATTTTGAACCACTAACATTTAAATGGTTTCTGTTGTAGAACCCAACTGTTTGCTACCCTCTCTGACCACAAGGTGGAGAAATTGGACTGGGTTTGAAACTACAGGCCACGTGGTGGCCCACAGACCGACATTTTGTCACACACACACACACACACACACACACACACACACACACACACACACACACACACACACACACACTATAACCCTCCTCTCTCTCTTCATCTGTTCACCTCGCTATTGTCTTCTCTCTCTCAAACCTCCCTCTTTTGATTTCCTGCAGCTAACGAAGGCTCATACATAAGCTGACAAAGCAACATCAGTTGGAGATGTTCTGAGTTACAGTAATGACTGTGGCTTCACAAAACCAAATGCACACCAGAGCACCTGGTTGTATTCAGACAAATTTGACAATGGGAACGTTTTTGGAGCTTGTGTTGCAAAACACAAAGCTGCTGCAGTGCATCATGTATGTTCGTCTAAGCACGCACCTCTTCATCATCGTCCATGTACTGTTTGTATCTCTGCTCCATCATCTCTCTTTGCCATCTCTCCTGCTCCAGAGTCTGCTGGATGAGCTGAGCCACTTCGCTCTGCTCCCCGGGCTTCTCCCGACCAATCACAAAGCTGGAAAACATTCAACACATCCATCAGTCAAGTTAATGTGCTGAAAAACAGACACACACACAGCAACTGCAAAACTGAGAACATTTCACACACACGAACATTATCAGAAAAACTCACACTGTAATAACCTGAAAACGTACTGTAAAATGCACCAAACCTGAGGATTAAAGCTCATACCAACCCAAAACTATATACAGTCCAAAAAACCCCACACATTTTGTGTTTATGAAGCAAAACAAACATTTGAATATGTTCTAATAAAGTGTGTGTTTGGAGGAGTGTGTGTGTGTGTGTGTGTGTGTGTGTGTGTGTGTGTGTGTGTGTGTGTGTCAGACCTGACGGTGCCGGTGGTGTTGCGGAGGACAGAGGCAGCGAGGCTCTGAGTGACGCCAACCAGGCTGGTCCCATCAACCTCCACTATCAGATCATTTACCTGGATCCTGCACACACAGAGAACACTGCATGTGTGAAAATGAACAGACACAAAGGACAACATTTTCTCCACTGTCAGAGAGCGTGTGAAGTCTTTAATCTGTAGCTTTAAGGTTGGAGGGAGTTTTCCCTTACAGTTTTTGCCTGACCACTTAGATGTATGTCTTGTGGAGCAATCTCCTATATCTTTTTCCTGTTTATAGACAAATCCAGCTGCCGCCATCACTGCTACAGTAGAGTGGAACTATACTGTACATATCACATAAACTGACAATAACGCACCGCTTCTGTCAGCGCAGTGTGGAGTGAGCTAATTAAACCTAGCAGGAATTACTTGCTAGCTTATCAAAACTCATCAAACTCCAGGATTCCCTGTTTTATTCGGTCCTCTTGTCGGCAAGCCGCTCATAATGCAAACGAAAACTGGTGTCATTCAGCAGAGGCTTGTGGCTTTTGCTCTCCGTTTTCAGTCTCAGTTTGGTGTTGGAGCAGCTGCTGACAGCACAGACAGAAAATGTGTCTTGTCTGTTGAAACTGGACTAAATTAACGTTTTGTGACTTGAATGAGATTTGTATACCTACAGGTATATTTGTAACTTATAACCGCGTACAGGACGTGCTGTAGAGTTTTTTGGCAGAGGGGCCAAGAGAGCCTTTACATATAGCTGAGAAATGTATCACAAAATCTTTACTTTCATTAGATATTAATAACTATTGATCATTTTAATGAGCTATATTTAATATAAACTAGGTGTATAAAACACTTTAAACAACTTTATATATCAAGGCACACAGGTACTAATTTTTATGTTTTGTCATACTGTATTGTTGCGGAGTAGCTCTCCACCGTGGACTGCCTGGGGATTGTCTTGAGATTAAACAGATGGAGGTTGTGACTGACGACATGTTGCATCCTCCAAAGGGTGACAGCACACTCCATTATCAAGAGATGTGTTTATGAGGCTGGGCGTATTTGTTATGGGCTTTCATGGCTGTTTGTAATTTATGCATTTAAGTGAAACTATGGATATTCTACTGAACAATATTCTTATTGCTATTGAATAAGTGTCTATTGTTGATACATACTGCTATTTGTTTTACAGCCCAGCCATTCCTTTACACACATTTATAGTGCCATACATGGGTGTACAAATGAGATGAGACTTGTTGACAGTTTGTTGACAGGAAACAGAAAACGAGTGATGGCGAGCCCCTCTATTGAGAATCCTGCATGAGACACATAGATAAAGACAGATGCATTAGGACAGGTGGACAAACTACCTGCCGTCTCTCTGCGCAGCTCCACCATCGGTGACCGTCTTAACAAAGATCCCCAGCTTCTCCAGACCCATATCAGCTCCTGCACCCATCCCTATGATACTGATCCCCAGACCGTCACTGTCTGAGACGTACACACACACACACACACACACACACACACACACACACACACACACACACACACACACACACACACACACACACACACACACACACACACACACACAAAGCAATGAAACATATATACCCTCATACAATGCGTATATGTCAGTATTATAGCTATTATGCTGTGCTGAGAGCAGCCGTCATGGATTGGTTGCTGGTTCCAATCCATTACCTCCAGGCTTACTTGCTGCTAATTAGGCTAATCCGCGCTAAATTTAATCCCATAAGGGGATAATGGAGTTGCTAGCAGACAGTGTATGTTCACTAACAGCACCCTGCCAGTTATGCATGTGTGTGTAGTTACATAATAGGCTTGACCGAGTGACTCAATGATTGTAAAGGGGTGTGTGTGTGTGTGTGTGTGTGTGTGTGTGTGTGTGTTGTGTGTGTGTGTGTGTGTGTGTACCTTTCTCCAGCTCCACAGGAAATAGGTCCAGTTTCTCGACTCTTTTCTCCAGCTCATACTCGGCTGAAGCTGCCATGGGGTCCACGTCATCATTGCGCCGATCGTAGTCTTCATTAGAGTAGGTGGTGAAGACCTACACACAGGGCAAAGGCCTACGGTCAGAAAGCCACCTTCTCTCATTGCATGTAATTAGCTCCTAATTAAGTGTTATTTATGCTTTCATAAATCCCTCAGGAATGACTTCTAACTCTGTAAATGGCTAAATTTATATAGCACTTCAGTCCAAAGTGCGTTACAAGGCCGCTCATTCATTCATTCATTCACCATAGTCTACCCTTAGATAGATACATGGCGGACAAAATATTAGAGACACCTTTCAGTGCAATACAATTCAGCAGGACCACAAACTGCATCCCCCAAAATCACCACAAAGTTGAATCAACACCTCTGTGAATCAATTTAGTGTTATATAAATAAAGGTTTTTTGCAACCATTACAGTTTTTTAGTCTATTCTGAAAAGCTTTTATCTTATTTATCTTACATTTATAAAGATCCATCTCCTCTTATTATACTTTATAATTCTATTGTTTTTATTTTTATTTATTCAAATAAGCAGTCAATTAGAAAACACGTCTTGATTGGACAACAGGAACATTCAGAGGCTCAAACTACCTCTGGCTCCATCTGATTCTAGTCACTACACATTTGAGAGAGTAGAACGGGACAATAACATCTGCCACCAGCTAGCCTGCACCAGTGTAAGTCAGCACTATCGTTAATGTAGGAGAATACAGAAAACACAAATAGATATCATTATATAACAATCTGCAACCCCTTCTCTCCCTTAAAAGGGGAATACATATGAACAATATATGAGCGAATATGTTCTTTCTTTCACTCTCTATAACGCCCCTTCCCCCTCTCTAAAAAGGTCAACAGCATCTGTCTCCCCGGTGACCATTTCTGTGATCATGTGGCTTTGTTTCCGTGGCAACCACAGGCTTGTGCCCAGCGTGAGTTTGGCACTGGCACTGACCTGCTCTCTCTCTCGGTCCCTGTCTGGCAGATATGCTAATTTGTGTGTTTGAGAGACAACATAGAGAGCGAGAGACAGAGCCAGAGGCCTTTATGTGTAGGAGGTGCTTGTTACACTAGTACAGTATTATTTACATTGCCCTGAATGTAGAAGCCCGAAGTCCACGCACACACACATATGTGCGCACACTCGCACACATACACACACAGGGTCAGAGGGCGTGATTGTTAAACTGTTTCCTGCAGTCACATTTCCTTCCTGTTGAGTAACTTTAAAGCTGTGTGTGTGCATGAAGGTTCAGAGTGGTCTCTGTGCACGTCATGCACACACAGTCTCTACTCTGCCACAGAAATAGCAACACAACAACACACAGAAACAACAGGTGGACAACAATAACAAAATGTAACACACCTACAGACACAACAAACACTAAAACCTGCACAGCAAAAATGTCTTTGACATGAGCAACAGGAATAGCAATGGAAATGACCAAAGAATTAACCAACACAGCACACACATAAAGAATCTCAAAACCTCAAAAACATTTTACCAGCATATGAGCTTCAAACTGAGTGGCTGCTGCTAATGCGGCTAATCTCATGTATTCTGAGATTGAATGGATTATCCAGTGATTTTGTGGCCTAAAGTAATTCCATAAATTCAATTCAATTTTATTTGTATAGCGCCAATTCATAACAGAAGTTATCTCAGGACACTTTTCAAATAAATTCAATAGAATCTTTCATTCAAACCTCCTGGTGGGAAATCCCAATGTCTTTCAGACCATACACCTTTAGTTTGTATCCCAGGCTTTTTGTTATAAATTATGAGATAACCCTGATGACATCACTATGACATCATCAGGGTTATCTTTTCAGACAAATAAACAAAAGCCCTGAAAAAACAACCAAAAAAGGCAACAACAATGGCCTCACAGAGCTACATAAGACATTATAGAGCTGTGTCAGTAGCACTCAACATGACTAGTAATTTATATTGATATATGTAAGTTTTTAATTAGGTCTTACAAATTCCATTAGGAGCACTAGGAGGATCAGAAGAACCTGATTTTTTTTTTTACAGGTTATCTGTCTCTTGTTCTACTGACAGGATGTAGTTAAAGTTTTAGCAAATATGACAAAAAGTTATTTTTCTAAAGGTTTCCTACTGCAGGTTTAATCTCGTCTCTCAGCACACTCAGTTGTTTTTTGTCTACGGTGTGTACACTGTTTGGTGCCTTTAACCCTTTATTGCAACAATAATATGCATTTTAGTTTGGCAGTGCTGCTCTGCTCATGTGATGCCACCTCTTCAATGACATCCTCTCCATAATCTGACCAATCACAGGCTACCTACTACTACAGTGGACAAAAGCCAAGCCACAGAAAAGTCCCACAGGAGGCAGGGTGGAGCTTCAACACAAGGCTGTGCTGTCTCTTTGCTCCTGCGGTTCTTGGTCAGAAGCCATGGGTCGCGTCTTGACCGAATGCCACAAAGGCCATTTTAGCATCTAGCACATGAGTTCCAATCATTTAAATCTAAATTGACAGATGAATCCACATAGCATTACTATGAACAATAACCAATAGCTACCACAATAAAAACCAACAATGAACAAAAAAACTAAACTAAAACTAAAACTAAAACAGAAGCAAACATCCTGTTCTCATCACTTGCAGATAATCCAAGTTGGCTGAGCAGTGAATTAGCCTGAGTCACTCCAGTCAGCTGGATCTCATGCAGGTTAACTGGATAAAGATTGGGCAAGGACGCTACAAGAGTCTTTCAGGCTTTCAAGGCATGAAACACAACAGTACACCATGGGAACATTGATACACAATGCAAAAGAGCTGAACGTGGTTCGCTAATGTAGTTCTGAATTGCACTTATGAATAAAAATATTAGTAATAATGAGTAAAACCATAGTTTCTTGACAAAAACTGGATAAGATGCTAGCCTGGCTCTGTCCAAACTGATGAACCATTTGCCTGATAAAGGTCATATAGTCATATTGCAATTTAAACAATGTGCAGCAGTATATTTTTGCAATTGCAGGATTTTTTTCATCAGTTCTGAAAAATCCAAGAAATACACAATGATTTTTGTACTGATTAAACAAAGAAGGTACAATATGTTAAAGCTGCAGTAGGTAATGTTTACAAATGTACTTTTTTGTCATATTCACTGAAACTCTCACTATATCCTGACAGTAGAACATAAGACAGATAATGTGTAAAATCAGTTCCTCTGGCTCCTCCTAGAGCTCCTAATGGCATTTGAAAGAATCCACCGGGCCTAAACGAAAACAACCAATCAGAGCCAAGAAAGATAGTTGATTGTTGAGTGTCATTCCCAGGGTGTCGAATACAGACCAATGGGATCCAAACCAAAGCATCTTTATATCTTTCTCAGCTCTGATTGGTTGTTTTCATTCAGGCCCGGTGGATTCTTGCAAATGCCATTAGGAGCTCTAGGAGGAACCAGAGGAATAAGCAGACTTTTTAAACATTTGGAGGGAGCCAGATTAGCCGTTTCCAGTCTTCAGGCTAGGTTAAGCTAAGCTAAGCTAAGCTAACCAGCTGCTGGCTCTATCTACATATTTATCGAAGAGATGTGAGAATAGTATTAATTGTCTCATCTATGTTTCAGCAAGAAAGCAAATAAGTCTATTTCCTATAATAATATTTTGCATTCCATAAATTCAAAAAAAACTATTTTGTTAACCAACCGTTTAATTCAGTTCTCAGGTAAAGATGCCAAAGTCTTCAGTCTTTTTTTCCAGTTTCACAGATGTGAGGATTTGTTGCTTCTATTTCTCATACTGTATGTGATAATAAACGGAACTGACTGACATTTTTATGGAGCTGTTCAGATGAAGAGCCTAAGAGCCTCTCCTCCACATTGCGTTAATGGTTTCAATTAGGATCAGGTGCATCCATAAACTCGACTTTTTACCTAGCTCCAATACACACACCAAGTGTCTTTCTTTCCAAGCAAAGCTCCACTTTGTGATTCTTATCAATCAGCTTCCCCACCTTTGTGTGTGTGTGCGCGTGTGCGCGTGCATACATGTTTGTGTGTGTACATTTTCAAGGAAAACAAACACACCCAGCCACATTCCAACTGCTTTTTACAGACTTACAGAGGTAGCCTCGTATAAAACGCAGTACAGACAAATCCACTGTCAGTAAAAGTGAGAGAACAAGCTTGGTACTTCAACAAGTTTTCTACAGTCTGTGACTAATCATTTACTAACCCTTATCATTATGCTGTATTCATCAAATCAAATCATCCAGAACTTTGGAAGTTCCTAATCAGTGCTGTGATCATGTGACTCTTTGTTGGAAGACCAAATGTGGAGGAAATTTTAGAAAGTGACATGCAGCGGAGGCAGGTTGGAGACTTGCTGAGTACCAAAGGAGGTTTGAGCTCTCCTGGCTGACTTTTACTTGATGAAGTAACTCATGATCTCAGAACAACAATTACCAACTACCTTTGAAATTGACTAACACCACCCAACATGTCTGGGCAGTGAGTCTCTTGGCTGGCTTTGTTCCCGACCGGCAGCAGAACATGTCTTTGAACATGTAGCAGTTCAAATCACAACAAAGCAGGACAGTCCTAATGCCACTTTCACTTGTAGGGTTTCATTCAAATCATAGGCTTTCCATTTTTATGGATGCCATTGGGGTGTAACCTATCTTCCATTAAAATAGTGATGTTCAGAGTGACAGTAACTATAGTCTGATTCTTCTTGTTTTGACAGAAATCAGGCGTCACTGGTGTTCTCGAACTGGTGTCAAGTGCTCTGAGAAGATACCAGAATAAATACTTATTGCTATTCCAATCCAGGTCTGTTAATTATATCCCTGCCATACCCACAAGCTTATGAGTAGGAAGTGATGTGTCTGGTTGTGGAAGCAGACAGGAAGCTGATGCCCACATTTAGGAACGTGCTGAGTATGGTGGCTATAGTGGTTCACACTGCTACCCTGTTACCCCGTTGGCTGAAGTGCCCTTCTAAACCAAATAAATAAAGAATGTGCTGAACGCTGTCTTTCTTTTAGTGACCTAAGAGCTGAATAAAAAATCTGGACCAGTTGCTCTATATATATGGTTGGTTTGCATGTTTGCCTGATACACTAACCCCGGAATTCTACCAGGCACAGCTTAACATTGCTTTTTGGCTCTGTGATCCACGAGTCTTCAAATGCCACGAGAGCGCCTTAAGAGCGTGCCATACATTGTTGACTTGTGTATTTTTTTCCCTAAAAAAAAGGATATAAAATGTATGTTTCTCTGCTTAAAATGTCCTCTGACTGACTTCTGGTACAGTGCTACAGTGTTGATGTCGCATGCAGAGTCTGCACAAAGTGTTTTATTTTGAAAATTGCCAGGATACTCTATGCTGTTTCTGTGTTTGACTTCCTGCCAATGTGAACTGTTCTGTACTGCTTGATGCGAGTGGGTTGCTGCTTCCCTCAAAAATAGATCAGCTGCATGTTCTCCACCAAGCACAGCGGAGAGACGCCTAGTGGAATTCTGACGTTGCGTCACCACTTCCTCCCACTGTATAATGATTAAGCCAAAATATCCAGGATACGGCTGCTGCCATCTTGCACTGGTGACATCATTTGTAGCCAGAGTCTGCACAGTAGCGATCGGGATTGGCGATATCGTTGGAGGTATCAAGGTCCACCCATACGTCTGTCTAACTCAATTGCGAGCAGGACTCAGCTGTCAATCATGACGTGAACCCCTTTTTTAAAGCATTTACAACTCAATTAATAAGAAAAAATATCACATAGACATACATTAGTGTGATAAAAACTACCTAAAATTACCATATTTGACATGTACATTGACTTTTTTAGTCTAGCCCATATCCCATCTGCTTTATGACCTATACTACAGTCAGCCACCAGGGGGCGATAGATATGTTTTGGCTCCCGTTTTCTTTATGATGGTTAGCATTATCACCACTACTAGCCTCCATTTCTCCCTGGAACATCACGTGCAGCATTGCCTAAGGTCTTGTCTACAGCCAGTGTTTGGTTTCGCCCATTCTGTACTACTGTAGAAACTTCAACAAGGCACCCAAAATTCTAAAAGGTAACAAAAACACAATTCCTATATCCAGGTAATTGTCCACTAATTAAAACATACCTCACAGGTATATTATATTCCATTTCTGCCAATATATATGCTTCTAAATGTTACACACTTTAAACTATGAAAACTGGTTTCCCCACATCACATTTCATATACTGGAACTGGTTAGGTGAGTTAATGTAGCTTTAAAATGAATCTTATTAGCTGTTGCACACTGTTTACAGTAGCAGTGCTCATGAAACTGAGATAGAGCTGAGGGTGGCAGCTAAAGGCTAAAGTGCCTTTGCAGAGCTAGTGTCAAAGCAGTAGCCAGCAAACAGCTGAATCATTATGCCTGAACTGTCTAGCAACCAATGATTACACATTATTTCCAATCAACCTATTGTCTCCTCTTCTATAATACAGTTGAATTTAAGCATATTTTATAGGTTTCATACAACAATTATCTTTTTGTAGGTGTTTGCTTTGTATAAGAGACTTGCAGTATGTAGGGCACTGCACGCACTGACATGTGGTTTCATATGCTGTAAGGCGCCAACATCAGATGGAATATGGACAGTGCAGTGAACAGAAAACATCAGATTAGGGTTGCAGCAGCATACCGATACCATGGTGGAAAATTGACGGTTATCATTCCGTGTATACCTGCTTATCTACAGTATTGAATTATTAAACTATATTAGTGTTTTTTTGTAAAGAAAAAACATTCTACTGTTAATTATAAGAACAATTATGTAATACTGTACTGATTCAACTTAGGCAAATAGGCAATATATTGCGATGTCATAAACTGTCATAGAAAAGAAAAGGAGCAATTCAGGGTTGAGCTATCTTGCTCAAGGATACTTCGACATGTGGCGGGAGGAGCCGGGGATCAAACCAACAACCTTCTGATTAGTGGACAACCCGCCCCTTCAATTGCGATTGTTTTATTGAACTGGAAGGTTTTCTGAATCTGACAAACAGGTGATTGCACATCAGTAGCAGACGCTGCTTTGACATGATTGGCCGGACAGCCAATTGTGGCAGTCACCTTAGCAGTAAACAGCGCCGCCTCAGGCTACAACTGCACTTTTAGCAGCACGGTGGCAAAAGAGGTCAGTGGTTAAACGTTTTAATGTCCAACAAAATGTAAAGAATTTTTGACCTGATGCCTGCCCTTAAACAAAAGTCCTGATGATCCTCTACCACCTGCATTTGTGGACATGACTGAGCAGGAGAATCCTCAGTGCATTATGTAGTCTCAGTTACAACATTCACTTCCGCCCAAACATCCTGTTTCAACCAAGACTGCTCTTACTTCCTGTTCTTATCTCCTGTGTTAGATGGTATATTATCGAGTTATACTCTATGGTCTGCTATCAAACCGTCGCTCTAAGTGAGGAAGTGTGTTAATATGACAGCTTCATAATTGCGAGTTGAGGCACGTTTCACAATCCACAGAGCTCAAGCAGCTGACTGTCGCAGAGAGAGGGGGGGTATCGGGAGGAGAAAGAAGCAATCTAGTATATAAAAGTGCTTCTTAAATAAATATCTATGTTCAAACACACACACACACACACACACACACACACACACACACACACACACACAAGTGTGATCTAGAGTCAGCAGGAAATTCTGTGGTGAAATCAAAGAGTGAACACCCCCCCCCCGTGTGTCTTTGTGTGTTTATGATGTTACAGAAGGAGGAAGTCACCTAGTCTTTTCAATCCTCTCCTTACTCTCTGGATTTCTTCTTTTACTTTCCACACACACACACACACACACACACACACACACACACACACACACACACACTTATTATATAATTACCAATTGCAGCCCTCAAAATATGAATAAAAACAACTAAAGCCACTTTACAACATGCTGGAAAGTCACTAAGTACATTTACTCAACAATTCTGTGGTACGTTACTTGAGTATTTTTATTTTTAAATTACTTGTATAGCACCTTTCTAGTCTTTCACATACACACAGACATTTCATCAAAAAAAACTATGGTAAAAAAATCATTGTCTTGGTCCAGCTAGCTCTACACCATGATTTGAATGAAATGTAGTTTTGCTGTATCGGTCATCAAAGGATTACAGCTGGACCTTCAGTTTGAATGAAGTAGCACTCCAGTGGTAACCACCATGACTAAATGCTGAAGCCAAAGAGGAAGTGCCTAAAGGAGTTATGGGTGCTTATTACTGGCTCCAATAAAACTGACAGTAGTGACATCAACTGGGAAACATCCAAACCTACAAATGCAGTATTTTTTATTTTTTACACAACAGGTTGGGGCCAAACATTTGATAGCACTTCTGATATATTTGATTCACTCACCTTGATTGGCCCAGTACTGAAACAAATCTTCCTATTGGGTGGCGGAGGCTCCTCTTCCTCAGGGAGGCCTGGGATCTCGGAGCAGCTGCTTTCTGGCTGATACACCTCCTCATCTTCTTCATCCTCCTCATCGTCTAGTTGGCTGCCCCCAGAGTCCTCCTCCCCAATCCCGCTGTATGCACTGATATCTACCAGATCCCCCTCTGAATAATCATCCTTCCTCGAGCCATCCTCATCATTCTCCTCCTCCTCCTCCGCCTCCTCATCCTCTTCATCCTCGCCTCTCCTCTCGGAGTCTGCTTCTTTCTCGTCTGAGGAGGGGGAGGAATCTGGAGGCTCTTTTTCTCCATTTTCCAGCGAGGCGTGAACCTCAGCCTGCACCAGCCTGGCTCCAGCCTCAGACCCCCCGGTGGAGCTGTCCTGTTTATCATCTTGTGGCCCCCGCTCTGGGGCCACTGTACTTGAGCCCCTGGCTTCAGTCACTGTTGGCTGGGCCTCTGACTCTGGTTTGACCTCTGAAGAGGAAGAGGAGGAAGTGACAGCCACTGAGGACAATGAGGAGTGGGAGGAGTTGGAGAGCTGGTCTCCTGACTGTCCTGACCCCTCCTTCTCCTCGCTGGCTCCTCCTATGCTCCTCTGTAGAGAACCTGTCTCTGGTAGCTCTGATGCCTGGGTGCTCACAACTCCTGCTGCCACTTCCTCACGGTCCTCCTTACCGGGAGGTAGCACTTTGGCCTGAGAAAGACAGACATGGATAGATCATCTAACCTTTCTTTCAACAGCTTCCTTCATTTCTACCGCAGTTTGTGGTTTCTTTGTTTAAAAGCAAATTCTTCTTACCTTCCTTCCACCAGCCTCCGCTCTGGCCGGAGGTTTGGGCTTTGGTGCTAGGGCAGGGCCTGACCGACGTTGGGGGAGGTAGAGATTGTTTTGCGGTTCACCCTTCTCAAACACAGCACTGAGCTGGCTCACCGTGGGGCTGACAGCTTCACCAGGCCTGACTGAAGCTGCGGCAGCGGGAACAATAGCGGGAGCAGGAGTGGGAGCGGGAGCAGGAATGGGGGGATCATCCAGCCGGTCCAAAGCCTCAGTGGAGCCATTAAAGCGAGCCACAACATCTAGACGGCTGTCCTGGAAGCCCGATGCCCGCTCCTTCTTCAGCAAGATCCGGTTGGTGGCAGCTTGCTTCTCCTGGAGGAGACAATAGTCAGTCAGATGGTCTTGAATCTGAATCAGACACACATGTAAGTACAACAAAAAGCCTTAAGACCTGCAGAGTCCGCTGTTCAAAGATCCTCCTGGTCTCCTGGAGCTTGGAGAGGCCCACAGAGGAACCCCCACCCTCCCCACCGGGTTTAGTGTCAAAACGGTTGACCCTCTCGGAGACTGTGGCCCCAAGTTTGAGCAGGGCGCTGTGGTCGACGTTCTCATTGAGGCTGGATGCCCTCGGCAGGGACAGTTTCACAGCCTGCTCTTTACCTGCAAATGGAGGGAAAAATTCTTATTGGCATGGGTTTTGACCATCAATGGTTATGCTAATATTGTACTGTCCATTGTACCAAACGACCAGCAGTCAAATGATCAGGCAGGTTTTCAATAAACTAATAAAAAGGTTTGCCAAAATTATTTGAAAGAATTAAGTGGTTTAAATATCTAACACTGCTCGTTTCTTTCCCTGTTGGGATTTCGGGTTTGTGATTTTGCCAGGTTCTCAGATCTCAGCAATCAGGTTCCTCGGGCTCCTCCTAGTGCTCCTAATGGTGTTTGCAAGAATCCACAGAAAACAACCAATCAGAGCCAAGAAATCTAGTTGATTGTTGAGTCTCATTCACAGGGCGTCCTCCAAACCAAAGTGCCTTTTATCTTTCTTTGCTCTGATTGGTTGTTTTCGTTCAGGCCCGGTGGATTCTTGCAAATGCCAGGACACAGTGAAAATCTGAGCAATAATGACAAAATGTTTTTTTTATATATATATACACAAGTTACCTTCTGCAGCTTTAAATGGTTTAACAAAACTCTAACTAGTAAGGTGAATTACCAATAATTTTGGCTCCATCCTCCTCATCGCCAGGAGACTGCATCTGCATGAACATGTTCTTGATGCGGTGAACATTTGATCCATATTTCCGGCCCCTACCGGTTGGGCGGGGCAGAGGAGCGGGCTTTGCCGTGGGGTCAGAGCCTCCGTTGGCGGCATTGTTGAGGTGGTCAGTGGCCTTTTTGAGCGCCGCCAGCCCCGCCTCATAGGCATTGCGGTGGGGCGACGGACTCCGCAGGTTCGAGCTCCCGCTTCCCCCACTGCTGCCACCAGAGGTCCCGTTGCCCCCCGAGGCCGATGGAGGCTCAGTCTTCATCATGTTTGGTAAATCAGATGCCCCCTGGTGAACAGCAGGTTAGCAGGGATGAGGACTGCAGCATCCTGGAGTGTTTGACATTCACCCCCTGAATCACATGCAGAGACAGACAGATCGATCATTTATATTTGTGATGAAACATTTTCAACGATCAATCACGGATAACAGACACCCAGGGTGAGTCACTGTTCTATGAAACAGAAACAGACATTTTAGCTTCTGTAATCGTGTCAAATGCAACCCCTTGTTTTTACTGCTGAAATGACCAATGGCGATTAATCGACCAAGAGTTTCGTTGGTTTCAGATTCTCTTTTATATTACAGTGGGGTTTGGACTGTTGGTTGGACAAAACAAGAAAACTGAAGACATCACCTACACTTGTAAAGACCATTTCCACCATTTACTGATTAAACAACTAATCCATTAATCATGTATATGAATGTCATAAATATAATTATTAGTTGCTGCACTATTAGTTTTCAAAAATGAAACGATCAATCTAGACTACATTAGAGAAGAGAGGGGAAATCAGCTGTTTCTGGTCATAGGTCACAGTGACAAAAGCCAGAGCTTGAAATAATTACTAACTAACTTGTTTAAACCAGTGGTGTTCTCCTGCTGAAACTCCTGCCCTCTGTTCTGAGCATGCAGCAAATCATTGGTTGTATTTTACTTTTTTGGATTATGATCCAAAATATGTTCTGTTGGCAGTCAAGAGCGGGACTGCAACAAATGATTATTTTCACCAATCACTAAATAGGCGATTATTGTTTCTATAAACCGATTAAGCCTTTAGTCTGTGGCAGAGGTCAGCAACCTTCACTGGCCAAAAAAAAGGGAGAAAAATCTGTCTTGAGACGGAACACAAATTTCTCAACAGTAGCCTTGGTGGTCAAAGTGAAAGAATCTGTCCACATACATCTGTCCTCTGAGACTTCTCTTTTTGGATTTGGAATCCATAGATAGCTTAGCCAGGAAGACTCGAGACCAGTAGCCACTGCTATTGAGGTTTGGCAAAATATAGAGGAATGGCAGGATGTAACATGCATGTAACATATGACGCACATTTTATTTGATAAAATAATAACATTTCTTTATCTAGTGTGTAATGGCTACAGTTTATTTTTTACGATAGGAGTATGTAAGAATCAAAATGTTAACAAATAAAAGTAAAATATATTCATTGCCATAAAATGTTGTCCAAGCCTCAGGGAGCCACTGGAGAGGGGCCCAAAAGCTGCAGGTTGCCTACCCTTGGACTATGATAATCTAGACTAATGTACATGGCGGTTTACTACACATTAAGAAAATCTTAATCCACATACAACATTCCAACCTTTCTCAACTCTAAGAAACTAACTGCGATGATTCATGTGTTGAGATTTCATAAACCCATTTGAGTTGCATTATAGGAGAAGTGTGATCCAATATTTTTGGACATTTTAATTACATGAATTTTTGAAAAAAAAAAACTCTGTTTTAAGTGCCCCTACTTTATGGAAATCAAGTCTCTGGAGTACCACTTTCAGTAAGTTTTTCATAAAAAAATGCAAACCAAATTACAAGCTCCAGCTTCTCAAATGTGAATATTTGCTGGTTTTCTATGATTCTACAGCCTTGGTTTTAGTACAGTTGGACGAAGCAAATTGTTTGATAGATTAAATTGGGCTTTAGGAAATTGTGATGAGCATTTTCACCATTTGCTGGCAATTTATATGGATTAATTAAACAAGAAAATAAGATTAATAATGAACATAATCATTAGAACCTGCAGCAGACAGAAAACAGGGGAGAAAACATTGTTGGGTTGAGCTGAGAAGATCAATTCCACTCAGCATGGTAACGTAAATACAAAGCGTCATGTGACCCATGGAGGAAGCACAGCAGCGTCTTCTGCTAGCTAACCTCCGCTTTAGCTATCCGCTAACTTGATTGGGGAAAAAAGGACTTTATTAAAGTAGCTACCTCCAAATATTACCTGACAGAACAAATCAAATTCTGATTTCTAAGTCCTTTTGTGGGATTTGTGACGCTACATTTTTTATCGTTTCACCGTTTTACAGCTGCTTCCTTCACAATGTTAGTTTATGGGAGGTCATTTTATATAAACCTATCTCACCTGTTCTCATTCCCAGGTCAAATATCTTTTCTCGGCTCACTAGGAGGAGTCAGAGGAAGCTGATTGTTTCACAGATTATCTGTCTCATGATCTACTGTCAGGATAAAGTGAAAGTTTCAGTGAATATGACAAAAAGTGATTTATATAAAAGTTACCTACTGCAGCTTTAATTCATATAAAAGGGTGTAAAACTGGCATGCTGTGGTTTTATGAAGGGTTAATATGAGCCAGGAAAGTATTTTGGCTGGGAGTAGTCACTTCCTCGAGTCTCTGCTGGTTATCTGCAACCTTAACAATGGTAATGGTAACAGTGGTAGCTTGTTAAAAGCAATGTGTTGGTTTCTCTGGAGTACCCATACAGTCTATGCCAATAAGAAGAACTGGATAATCAGCATGAGCAGCGATAGCAACAACTACAGAAACATAAACTTCATCAACAAGAAATTCACCGCTTCAGCCCCGCATCCAACAGCAGAGCACCACAGCAAGGAGGGCTAATAAAATATTATAGATTATTATAGGATATAGCTGCTTACCACTTTAAAGGTTAAATGAAAAATAAATGCGTTTTGTTTTGCAACTCAGACGATTACTTAATCGTATGTGGACTGAGCCAGAGACATCTCTCTTTTTTTTAAGAGACTGTGGGATTTGTGTGAAAATTCACAGCTGAGGTGTGAAGATTCATACTGACTGTTTTAAGTTGTCACAATGATACAACGTGTTCTTCCTCTGATTCAAACACTCCTCAATACAAAACAAACATAGTATGAAGTACACTATCAAACAGTGTACAGCCTTGCCTTGTAATTGTTCTTATCCAAACATGCCAAACACGTAAGTCATATTTTCCACCGCGGTTTAGACCAAAGAGACCCAAATGAGGGTGCCCCGCAATGTCATCTTCATGTGAAGTCATTGTTAATTGATGGTGTGTTTTGTTCGCCCTCACCAAATCATTAAGAGTTTTGCCCTAAACAACCTGGTACATAAAGCAGTGACATTTTCCAGTGGCTTTTGAGATCTGTGGTTGTGTCAGGATGAAAGTCCCAGCATCTGTGGTAGAGATCCAGCAATGACGTACCCTTTAAAACAACCTTCAATGCAGCATGGAGACCATTTTGGACCATTCAAGGTCCAGTGTGTAACATTTAGGAGGCTCTATTGTCAGAAATGGGATATAATATTCATAGCTAACAGCACACTAAAATATGTTTCTAAAAAGATTTTAGGAGAGAAATAGTCAACGCAGGAACAGAATCTGGATCCATATCTGATCAGCAGTTCCACAGTTTGATCCGAGTTTGGTGTGTTGAGCTGTACGGACTCAAATAGAATGATCTGTCAATCAATCAATCATTTTACTCTAAATGGGACCATCATTTACTAAATGAACATCATGCTGTATGGGAGAAGACTGAGAGTCAGCTTGGCTTCACTTCACAGACCCAGAAGCTCTGTCCACCATATATACTGTCAGTGGTTAGCGTGCAAACACTTGCTAATTAGCACTAAACACAAAGTACAACTGAGGCGAGCAGGAATGTCATTAGCACTGCAGGTTTTTGGTCATAAGGAAGGAACACTTTTTTCCTGGCAATTCCTACAAAAGTGGTTGAGACATTTATCTCAAAGCCATAATTAGCTAACTCATGGTGGCACAAGAGGAAAAGGATCACCAAAGTTATCACAAAAACTGTTTGCTTCTGAGTGACCAAAAGTCCAACCAATAAATGACTGTCATAGAAGACAAAGCAAACTCTGAAACTAGGAAATCTGGCTTTGTTGCTCAAAATAACATCAATTCAGTGAAAACAGTTTCACTCAATCATCACAGCTACTAGCAACTATAATGCAGACACTGTGCAACAATATGCTGCAACATGCATCTGAGCAGCAAGAGGATAAAACATGTTGGATCGTGTAATTGTTTGTGGGCTAGTTTACATCCTTTCCTATGGCAACGCTAACGATCTGCATGCTGATTGGATGTTGGGTTGGATGAAACTGTCTTTATTTAGGGAGGTAAAACTAAAGTGTATGAAAAGACGGTTCATGTCCCTGCCTCGTCCCACAGTGACTCTAGATGGCTCATCTGACCACAATGGGACAAACAAACACACACACACACACACACACACACACACACACACACACACACACACACACACACAGCGACCACAGGCTGTCTTGTGACAGTCTTGCCAAATAGTAGATTCTCACACACTGATCATGTGAACTTAAGTGAGCAAATCCAATGTAAAGCATATAACCTTTATACACACACACACACACACACACACACACACACACACACACACACAGCTAATAATGCTCCTGGTTTTTTTCCTGTTATGGTTAAGATGAATCTGGGGGCTCCCGGTCTAACTGACATACACCAACAATGAAATGCACAACACAGACAAAATCTGACTCCAGCCTCCACAGCTCCAGCTCAGCGTGACGGACTACGCATCCCCTCTCCGTTGGTGTTCCTACCAGTGGAGGAAAAATAGCTGAACGCAGTACGAGCATCAGCCCGGATTTCATTTTACACTCCCCGTCTATCCAAAAACAACATCTGTCTCCTGCTGCCCCTAATCCTTTGCGCTTGGTTCTCACTGCGCTCTGGTTGTCCTGTTAGAGGATAGGAACATTTTCAAACATCAGGCCACTATTAGGTGAAGGGCTTCACTCCCATCTGACCCAAAAAACATGTGTAAAAGTAATTAAAAAATACAATATGACGCTCCCAGTCGAGAACCAGGGCTGTGTCCTTAGCCTGGGGTGGAAATCTGATTGTCACCCCATTATCCTTACCTCTTCCACTCTTTCAGAGGCTGCAGCGGGCTCTGTTTTAAAGCTGAAGATACTGGTATCATATGAAACATATGGATGATTTAGGCTACATTTTGACAATGTTAAAGCTGGCATGGCCATTTTCAAAGGGATCCTTTGACCTCTGACCTCAAGATATCTGAATGAAAATGGGTTCTATGGATACCCACAAGTCATACTGACTTTATGCTAATCCCATACAGTTTTGGACATGCATGTGGTATAAATGTGCTCTTTTTGCCTAGTGTATTTCTGCATACTGGAGGTATATATAAACAGTGTTCTTCCAGCCACCCCTGCATAAGTCAGTGCCCCACTTGCCCCTATCCTGAACATCCCTATCACTGATTTGCCTCAGATCCTCTGATCTGCCTGTCACCTCAATCACTTCTGTCCATACGGACTTATCTAACTACTTTTAAATGTGTTGTTTACCCAGAGCTGCCGTCCTCCTCCCACAAACACACACTGTCTCAGTCAGGTCAATATAAGCTCAAACAAAAACATCAGGGCACAGCCACTGCCTGCACCAATAACCCTCAGCATATGGAGGTAAATTGACTATTGACTTGTGAATCTCCCCTGAGGATATTTAAAATATCTGCTTATAATCTATTGATGGGAGGTCCCTGAACAGCCCCTCCCTTCACTAAATACAGCCTACACCACACAAACAGCAGCCTGCGTTTTTCTAAATAACATATGTGAAGTGTTTGAGTGGTTAGCATGGTAAAAATGACCTTGTCTCATCCAATACTGTAACACTGAGAACTGGAGCTCTGTGCAAGCAGTCACATCTGTCTGTTTGTGTGCAGACAGACAGACACTGCAGCCTCTGCTGTAGATGCTTCTGCACCAACATGGTAATACGCTGCCCGTTCAGACATGAGTAATAAGTCCTTAAGTCTCCATGCCTGCACAGCATCTCCCTATCTCTGCGTGTCTATGTGCGTCACGGGCGCAGTGTTCAACAGAAGGCACATTATGGCAACTACAATGGCTCCATCTATCCACACCACAATCCCTGCATCTGTGGAGGAGACTCCCAGGCCTGGCCTAGTGTAACGGTTCAATCTGGCAGACACACACTGCGTGCTCCTGCTGTTGCTTGCTGGCGAGAGAGAGGCTTTGTTGGCATAACATATGCCGCTCGCTCCGGACTTCCATCCAAAAACACATTTTTTTATTGTGGCCTTTCCTTTAGATCAAAAATGTATTGTAAACGAATACAATCAACAGCTACTGTGAATCACCATGAGCCACGCGTTAATTCGGCGGTCATGTAATGCACAGAGCAGCGTTAACTACAGTAAAAAGGTCAACTGTTTTTTGTGGTTCGCTTGTTGTCCCCCTATTTCCCTTCCGTCAAAATAAACCTTAGCGGAAGGCGACGCGCACTGTGCTCGCACTTTGAGACTGGATTTTAATTTGAATTAAAAAAGGTATGATAAATCCCTCATTAGCCGAAATCTCCAGAAGGCCTCGGGGTATCCAGTGAAACATAAGTTCATATCCTTAGATGTGTTTACTTCAGCATGTAAGCACAGGAACTAAAAACACTAAGATTTGTAAGGGAGTCCGGCGTTCTTTCTGGAGAAGAGAGAACGCGGCTGTGGCTTTCCGGATGTGTTTTTTTCCGCCTGATTTAACACGTACAGCACACACAAACGCCAACAGTGAGCAGTTACAGTTGAGCCTGGGTTGTAACGTGTCACCGGCCGGTTCGGGAGCCAGAGGCAGACGGACTGCAGACGGACGGCAGACGGACGGCAGGCCCTGCTGGGTGTCTGTCTGCTGCGCTGCGTCGCTTCCTTCCTGCAGCAGCTCCTCTTTCATACACAATCGGAACATTTTCAGGCAGCTTAAACCGAGAAAAACACAGAGAGACTGTGTGCGCCGCTTCGCTCTGTCAACCGTACCTTATATTCCGGTGAAACAGCCCGGTTCCCGTTAGGATCCGTAGTGGAGACAGTCCATTGTCCTGCTGCTGATTCCTCCTGCGAGCAAACAGACTGAGCGCCTGCCTCTCCTCTGCTCTGCTCTGCTCCCCCCTCCCTCCCTCCTCCTCCTCCTCCTCCTCCTCCCCCCTCCCATCACTTTTCTCCATCCCTCTCTCTCTCTCTCTTTCTCCTCCGCACCCCTACTCTCCTCTCCTGTGTCCTTCCCCTCATCCTTCCCTTTTGTGCCTTTCCACTCTTTTCCTTCTTCTCCCATATTTTCTTTCTCCCTCCTTTTCCTCCCCTCTCTCTGTCTACCGCCCACCCTTTTCTACACCTTCACCTCACCCCTCTCTCCCACCAGGTGGAACTTGTTCTCCCCTCAGATGTAGATCATTTGAACATTTTACCTTATTCATTAATCCCCTGGCAGACTGCAGGGTGCTCTTTACTGTTCATCTGATCAGCAGGCAGCAGCCAACCGGCCTCATATAACACGCATCCTATGACTCACTGTTTCAACTGGCTGGTTACCTGTCTGATTTGGTGGCAGGCTGACTGTTACAAGCTGTTTGGCAGAGGAGAGAGCTCGGTGTGAGGAGCATTTCACTTCCAACGTGGATATTCAGCGCCCTCTGGTGACCAAAGCGTGTGCAACTGCACTGCTGTTGCTGCAGTCAGTGGAGTGGATGATGCTGTATAGTTGAATTACAAAGAAGCAGAAAATGAGAATTCTCATTTACTTGCCCTAACCTGAGTTTGTGTAGTTAGGGATGATACCTCTGCTCATTTTCAGTGGTGGAAGAAGTACTCAGAACAAGCACCTAATTTTGAACTGTTCCGAGCAGACTTATATTCTTTGTGCAATGAAACATTGTAACCCACAGCCTGAATTGACACCAGATGGAATATGTTACCTGGTATTTGAATATTTCTGCCTACTTGGTTCCTCCAAGATTGCGATAAGGAGGAGCAGAGCCCTGCTTATTCTCTGTCCTCTTGTGAAGCTGTGAAGTGTGTAAGAGAAACTATGGAGGCTGCGAAACTCCATAAATACAGCCAGTGTTTGATTTGTCCATTCTGGGCTGCTGTAGAAACATGGCGGCTTCTAAATGTTACACTGGACCTTTAAGTTCTGGCTTGAGTATGCTGTCAGTGCTACATGATGCAGGTAATTTAGCTTTACAATCAAACCCTAATCTAATGAATGTAACAGTAGAGGGACTGTAAAAGAAAAGGCAGACATAAATAGCAATAGCAAAGCCAATGGATTGCAGGTGTTAGCTCAATCATAGCCTAGGGTAGTTTCTGTGTCTCCAAGTTGAAGATATTTAACATGACAAATAACTGCAGTGTAAAACTGGCAAAAAGGCTCCAGTTACTCAACTACTGGTTTTTCTTTTTAGCGCGCAACAGGGTCATTCTTAATTTTCTTTTTCTTTTTAATTATGGGCTGAGCATGGTAAAATATAAAATGTAGTTATTTTATCTTTTGATTTTCCTCCATATTGTAAATCACGATCACTATAAGCGGATGATACAGTTTGACGTCTGAACTGTGTGTCTAGCTGTAGTAGATGAATGTGGACAGTGGAGGGCAGCATTGAGCTTTATCTTTGGTGACCACATATGAATCAAACATGAGATGCTGAATATCAGGACATCAAACCTGTTAATGTGCTCACAATTTTGTATCAAGGTGCCCTGTATAGGCTACTCCTATTACCTGTAATTCACCTTTTCAAAATAAAAGAAAGTCCTCAAAACAAAAAATAATGTTTCCACTGTGATGTGTATAAAGCAAAAAGAGCTGTCATCAGTTTGGAAGACAATGAATAAAAAAAACACCCAAATACCAAATAAAATGATTTTAAATATATGAACTTGTCAGTTTCTTTTAAAGCAGGACCAATGTTACACATCAGAGAGCACTACTGCATAGGTGAAAAAAAGTTGTATGAGGCCTTGCGTGGCTCCAGGGGGAGCTGTGTGAAGTCTGATAATATTGTTGGGTTTGAAAAGCTGCTCTATTTGAAAAGTGTCCTGAGATAACTTGTGAATTGGCGCTATACAAATAAAATTGAATTGAATTGAAAAAAATGAAATTGAAATAAAAATCTGGGGCTGTGGAGTTAGAAAGAAATGAGCTTATCAGACCTCCGCAGCCCGCTCTGCATCTGTACTTGAGGCTAGTGGCTCGAGGCTACATTAGCTGCTGCTAGCATAGCACTTACCATGATGATGTAATACTCCTTTTGGCCACAAGAAGTGTGCACTACTACTCTATGGTCTAAATAGGACTGAACACATTCAAATCTTCTTCCAGGTGAGTTAAAAAAAAAAAAGAGAGATAATAATCTGCCAAAAAGAGTTTAAAAAAGTAGGAAAATGATCCTGGCCATTTTTTTTTCACCCTTTAAGTCAAAGAAGAAAGAAAATAATTTAGATCAGACTTGATCACAGCAGTTTCACACAATGATGCATATTTAGCTTCAGACTAGCTCCAATGAAACAAACACAGCAGTACCAGTTGAAAATGCTTTAATCCCCTCATATAGCCACCCACACATGATCAAATACAGATGATAGATTAGTAGAAGTAGGCACAAACCGAGCTGTCAGTTCTCTGGGTAAAAGTAGGCACACAGTATACCTGGAGAGTAACCCTGTGGTGTAGGATGATGTAACTTCGAGTGCTCCTACAGCAGCCGTTCTTCATCCCTTCTCCACATTATTGTAGTAATAATTGCAGCTGAAATGAATTTCCTCACCAAATGAAGTACAATTTCAAACAATGCACCATCCAATGTCAACACAAGAGGTCTAAAAATCGAAGCAAGAAACCTAATGTTAGGAGTCTTTCTATGATAAACATCTCTTCCACTGAAATCATCAATCTAGGTATGTTCCAAAATATAGTTTTCCATGAAGGGCAGAGGAAGCCTCCCACATGAGTAAACTATGAGATTTCTTCCCTTTCTTAACCCTTCCATCCCTCCCAATTTCTTTTACCCCGCCCACCCCGTACTGCCGGGGTCGGTGTTCAGCTGCTAACGACGCGTCCTGCCCAGGTCTCGTGTTTGGTTCCCGGGTTGAGGTGGGTTATGGTGACCTCCACCGCCTGGACCTTCTCATGTTTGGGAGGGATGGAGCAGATTTTGTAGCTCACCTCGTCGCCTTCCACCAGCACGTACTCGCCTTCAATGCTGGAGGAGGAAGACAGAAAGAAAGAGAGAAACATATTGTTATGATAGATAGATAGATAGATAGATAGATAGATAGATAGATAGATAGATAGATAGATAGATAGATAGATAGATAGATAGATAGATAGATAGATAGATAGATACTTTATTGTCCAGGAAATGTGTTGCCACAGTCCATACATAATCATCATCATTATTGTTATTATCATCATTATTAATAACTTCAACCTTTGGACTGTCTTTGTCTTATTGTATGTATGTCTATTGACTGTAATGCCACAAATGCCACCAATGCACCGTGAAGGTCACAGGAAAAAAAAGGTTTCATTCAACCAGAACAGTGAGATCTGCATTTGTATTTATCATAGCCGCTGTAACATCCAACATCATAGCCCTGAGTTTATGTTGACAACACTGCCATCTAGTGGTTGGTAAAATATGAAGATACAATATTTTCTTTCAGGGTGAAAAGAATCACTGCAATGCCAGCACAGATGGAAAAACTATGGAAACAGTTGTATTTTCCAGTCAATAGTAGCAATGAAAGTCAAAGCAGCTGAGCTTTGGAAAATCTGTACAGAGCTTCCTTTTGGCCAGTTGGAGAGGAACACGGATGGAAACCGTCTCTTGAAGGAAGCCAGAGAGAGACTTGTGAACTATTTTATTGTGTCCTGTCTTACAGTGTACATTGTGCTGCTGTGTTTCATGGATTTGTACGTGTGTGTGTGTGTGTATACCAGCTGACGTCTATGTGTTTTAAGCCTGTGGGTGATAACAAAAGGCACCTCGTGAAGGTCATCAGATACTCTGCTGTCCTCCTACACACACCTGCAGCTCCTGCCATTCCTGTGTGTGTGTGTGTGTGTGTGTGTGTGTCCCTGTACTCCTACACACACTCTGAGTTAGCTTGATGTCAGTGATTAAAAAGAAAAACCAAACCAGCACTCTGGCTCATCTCATCAGAGACAATGAGGAAAAACACACTCATCCTCAGTCTCACAGAACCACTGTGTGTGCATGCATACACACACACACACACACACACACACACACACACACACACACACACAGAGCCTTACACTTCACATCCTAGCCAATAGTCATTATAACTTTAGGTTTATGTCATATTTGGATATCCACACCCCCATACTTAAAGACATGCACTCCCCAAGACACACACACACACACACACACACACACACACACACACACACACACACACACACACACACACACACTTACTCTGAGATGTGGACGAAGATGTCTTTGCCCCCGTCAGATGGCGTGATGAAGCCATGGCCTTTGGAGCGGGAAAAACATTTACACACACCAGTAAACACTGGACCCTCTGATGCACGGGCCGTCCTGTACAGAGAGAGAGAGGGAGAGATACAGACGGAGGAAAGAAGAGGAGGGTGAGAAAAGAGTGATGAAGAGAGACCAACTATGTCAGTGTGTCAACACAGATCAAAATAGGGCATTCTGATTGGTTAGCACAGTGGTTCTCATCCTTTTTCCTTATCATTGAGTAAACTGAGTGACATATTTTATGGACATTTCATATTCTATTTGCTGCATAATAATAACAGGAGAGAACAGCTGATAAACTGCACAATGAACCCAAACAGTGAACACAATAACTGCTGGAAGTAAAGGAGTAAAACCAGAAATTTGGATGAATTCAGAGCAGATTTATTTCCTGAGAATATTCATTTTTTCCTGATATTTTTAGGGACTTTTATACAATTCTTTGTTTGTATTATATATTTTTTAAGTCATTTTTAAACAATCATACATTCATGATAGGCTTCTTTTTTGGACAGATTTTTTGTTTTCTTCTCCCTGAGGCTTGGCCATTGTTCTGTTAGCTCTTTAACTGCATACATTTCTCTCCGAATG